TGTTTTCTTCCTTGAGTGCATCATCATTTTTCTCTTCCTTGAGTCTCTTGTTTTCTTCTTTTAGCTTCTCATTCTCAAGGACCAAATCACCATCATGATCAAGGGTTTCTAGCACAATGGTGTTGTGGGTTTTGAACACTTCAAACTCTTTCTTAAGCTTTTCATTCTCTTGCTTGAGCTTGACATACTCATCATAATCATTGCACTCAACCATTTGCTTGCCTTTGCCACTAGATCCTTGCTCAATGCTTTCATCAATTAAATCATTACATGATGTAGCTATATCAATCTTAACAACATGGTTAGTAGCATCATACGGCTCATTGGGTAAAAATTCTTGAGCAATGACAAGGCTATCATAATTAATCTTAAGAGTAGTATATTCTTCTTTTAGCTTGTTGTGGCTAGTGATGAGCTCTTTGTGCACCCACTCAAGTTTATCATGTTTGTCTTTAAGCTCTTTCTTAGAAGATTTTAGCTCCTTAAGTTTGGATGACATAGCATCATTTGCTTCTCTAAGCTCAACACTAGCCTTTTCCGCTATATCACATTTTGCTAAAAGTTAATCAATTTTAGCCTCTAGCTTTTCATTCTTAGCTCTAGTCTTTATAATGATCTTAGTGTATTGTTTTAGCAATCTAACAAGATCATCATAAGTAGGTGACTCATATTTATCATCATCACTATCGCTATCATCATTACTAGCATGTTCATCACCACTACTATCATCATCATTTGATACCTTGCGTTCACCCTTGGCCATAAGACATAGGTGTGTAGAGGATGATAGCGGTGGTGGTGGTGAAGATGATGAGTCAATAACAATGGCGGCCACCTTCTCATTGTCACTATCATCATTGGATGATCCACTAGATGAATCAATGTTCGTGAGCCAATCACCGACGATGTAAGCCTTTTCACTCTTCTTCTTCTTATGGAAGTCCTTCTTGCCATCTCTCTTCTTGTATGGCTTGTTCTTTTTCTTCTCATCTTCATCTTCATCTTCATTGCTTGAGTTATCTTTCTTGCCCTTGTTCTTGTTCTTGAACTTGTCTTTCTTGGGCTTTGTGCATTGGTGAGCTAGATGACCAAGTTCTCTACAATTGTAGCAATCCATCTCGGAGATTGGCTTTCTTCTAGAGCTTGTGAAGAACTTATTCTTGCCATCGAACTTGATGCCACTCTTGTTGAGCTTCTTTAGTATCTTGGCAATTTTCTTCACCATGAGAGCAAGGCTTGCATCATCAACTTCATCATCACTTGAGCTCTCATACTCAAGCCTTGCTTTGCCCTTCTCTTGGCTAGCTTTGAATGCTAAATCTTTTTCTTTCTTCTTTGTAGAGGATGAGCCATCTTGAAGTGTGATATGCATATACATCTCATGAGCATTGATCTTTCCCAAGATTTGTGTCGGTGTAGCGGTGGAAAGATCACCTTGATATAGCACGGTCATAATATGCCCATATTTGTCAATGAGGAGGACACTCAAGATCTTTCTTACAACATCGGATAGTTGTATTTGAGTGAGTCCAAGCCCATTGACTTCCTCTATAAGAACATTCAAACGTGAATATATTTCATTAGCACATTCTTTAAGAAGCATTTCAAAAGAGTTGAGCTTTTTCATGACAAGATGATAGCGTTCCTCACGCTCACTCTTTGTTCCCTCATGGAGCGCACAAACGTCCGACCATAGTGCATGGGCGTCTTTGTGGTTCCTCACCCGATTGAACACATCTTTGCAAAGGCCTCTAAAGATGGTGTTTCGAGCCTTTGCATTCCATTTTTTATAATTCACCTCATCGCCTTGTAGGTGTGTAGCATCCTTAGGTTTTGGGAAGCCTTGAGAGGCGGCTCTAAGTATTCCAACATCTAGAGCTTCTAAGTACACCTCCATACAAATTTTCCAATAAGGAAAATCGTCCCCCTCAAAGATAGGAGGAGGTCCATCCCCGTGAGACATCTTTCTCTAGGCGGTTAAAGCCTAAATCGGATATATCCGGATATTTGAGCACGGAGGCTCGATACCAATTGAAAGGATCAAGATGCCCAAGATGAGGGGTGAATTAGGTTCTAAATTCTAAGTGTTGTTTTTTTTTTTGCGATAATTAAACTTCTCAAATGAGACACTAAATGACCTCAGATGATCTGAAGCCCAATTAACCCCTTGTACCTAGAAAATGTTTCTAATAGTTCTACACGCACAAAAGACTTGCAACCTATGTTCCGAAAAATCCTACTCTAGCATGGCAATTCTAAGAAAGTAAATGACAACAAATTAAATTGCTCAAAGTAAATGCTCAAAGTAAAGAGAGGAGGAGGAGCGAAAAAAATGATGTTTTTTACCGAGGTCGAGAGAGGTCGCCACTCCCCACTAGTCCTCGTTGGAGCACCTGCGTATTCAAAACTTTTCAATTTGAGGGTGTAGCATCGAAATTTAAAAACTCTCAAACTGAACCATCCTATCTCAAATGGAATCCTAAAACAAGAATTGTAGATCAAGTGCTCTCAATTTGAAGTTGATTCTTCGACACTGTTGTTTTTTCATTTGTGAATCACCCACTCCAAATGAGACACTCACAACTTGAGTTAGGTCATCCACAGCTCTCTTTGGATGATCACACAAGCTCCCAATCACCACCTAAAAGCCGTCTAGGTGATGGCGATCACCAAGAGTAACAAGATCTTGGATCCATGACCATGACTCCTTGACCACGACAAGCCTAATGAGAAGGGTAGATGCACACTTTGCTACTCTTGATCTCACTAATGAGGGCTCTCTTTGGGATTCTCAAATCTCAATCACCTCACTAGGACCTTGCTCTTCTTCTTGGCACTCTCTATCCGTGTCCGAAAGGTGTTTCTTAGCTGTTGGAATGAGCAAAAGTACCGATACAATTGAAAGTGGAAGTGGTATTTATAACATAGGCTAAAATTTTTTTATGATAATTAAATCCTACAGTTAGCCCAATTATGTGCCTATTTCTAATAGGGTGACCGGACGCTAGCATGGTAATTCTAAGAAAGTCATGATTGATTGCTCAAAGTAAATGCTCTCAAAGTAAAGAGACACCCAAACTCCAGTGTTTTAAAGAGGTAGTGAGGTCGCCACTGTGCTAGTCTCGTTGAGCACCCGGCAAGTGTGTAGACCGGATCGAGTGTCGGTCATGATTTTCTCTTTGGAACCTAAGCTCCCATTGACCACCAAGCCGTCTAGGTGATGGCGATCACCAAGAGTAACAAGTCACGGACTGGCTCTCTTGACCGTTCAAGCCTAATGAGAAGGGTGGATGCATCTTTCTACTCGATCTCACGTCGCACTTTGCATTATCAAAAATCACCTTGATCAAATGAAATGAGGACGGACTCGTGTTTAAAGTGTGACGTGCGTCGTCGGTCGGCCGGAGCCAAGTCACTTCATCTCTTAGCGTCCGGTCGCTTTTCGATTTAAATCACCTTGATTTGACCCTCCATTCACTTCCAACTCTTGATCATATGCGAATGAAGTTTGCTCTATTGGATCTAAGGGCTATTTTAGAGCTACCTAGTGCTAGTTTTAACAAGTGTGCACCACACATAACTCACTAGACTCACCTAGGTCAAGCTACCCGTCCATACCCCCCTTAATAGTACGGCCAAAGGAAAAATAAAGTCCTAAACTACTCTAAGTGTCTCCTCAACTCCAATCGACACTTAGAACTAGTCCATCATTAACCTTGTCGTCCATCCTTTGAAAACCGAAACGATTTTCATCGTAGGGGCATGACCACCATGATTGCCCAATCGATCTCCATTACCATGACCTAACTTAATTGCCTCTGCAAAACACACGTTAGTCATAGTAATCACGTATTGTCATTAATCACCAAAACACAACTAGGGACCTAGATACTTTCAACAGAGCATCTTTTTGTTGCCGTAAAGCTTAAACTTGTTCTGTGTTAGATTGTTTTTGCAACAATCAATTTGGTGCTTTCAGAAACACCTTTACGATTTCGAAAATGAACTTTTCCTCTTGTTTGGGTTGCATACGGAGATATTTGTTTCGATATGTCACGAGGTATATAAATGAAAGTAGTACCTCGGTTTGGTCCTGACTACAATTTTTGGTACAAGTTGTGGTGTTGGTGCCGTCTATTGTTCCCAGTGCTCCATTTGGAGCCCAAATACTCCTTTTCTTCTTGTTTGACTCGCAACTAATTTTGGTCTTGGCTGCCGGCTAAGAGGCCGTCTAGACTTCCTACTTTCTAAGCATGTGTTAGCATGCTAGAAATATTTTAGGGTCAGGTACTCCCAAGATTATATAAGGTATTGATTAGGTGTGTTGCATGCTGAATTAGTCCTTTAACCCATGGGAGGGCTCTGTCCAAGCTTGTAGTTGGATGGTGCACACACTGTGTGGATCTCACCTAGCACGAATCAATCGCCGAAGAAATTTCTATTGTTTGATTTGGACGTGTGCTGATGAAGGTGGACCTGGATGTTGACGTGTTCCTGAACATCTGTGGCCTGGACTGTTCCTGGTGGAGACGTTTCAATTGCAGATTCGGACTTTTATTTGGTCCTTAAGTCCTTGTCATGACTCATGATTAGTGTGACAAAGAGCATGGTTGATCTCAGGACTGAGGACGTGTGTGGTTGTGCAACCACTCTGGAATCACAATATGCCCCACTAAGAAACAATGTTTTTCTTTCTTTTTTATGTCAACCTGCTGGCATCACAAGACTGTGGTGCTGCATTCTGTTAGCTTATGTATTTTTCACCACATGTCTATTGCAATTTGTTGTTTAGTTTTATTATTTACTATTGATCTTGTTCTTTTCATCGGTAGACAGCATTTTTTCTGTTGACACTTGATATTATATTTTTAAAAAACAAATAATATGACCAAAAAGTGATTGGTTAGATATGTTTGCATAATGTGCATCAAGGAAATCTGAGAGGGACTTTGGTGCATTTTCTGAAGGCTAGAGATTGGAGTGCCCCTAAAGCTCATAAAATGGTAAGTCACCGGACCTCCTTTTGCGTGATCTACAATCTACATTCAGGTTGAGAGGTTTCCCATGGGAAGAACTGATGAGATATCTAATTGTTTGCTGCAGCTAATGGATTGCTTAAACTGGAGAGTACAGAATGAGATTGACAGCGTGTTAGCTGTAAGTAGCTTTTTTAGTGTACAAAGTCTTTTTTTTTCTTTTGAAAAAGAAAAGTAGATTGGATTGCCAGAATGCCAACAAATGACTTGGGATATGTTTTGTAGTGATTGCATATCTTCACTTTTCCCTGCATATTCTTTATTACATTGGTAGCAGGTTTTTTTTTTGAAATATTGTTTCATTTGCATCATGAACTAAATGCTAATACCAATATATGTGGCCCTTTTTTATGATTTAACTCATGGTATTCTTCTGACTAGCATTACAATTTGTTTCTGATACAGAAACCCATTCTGCCATCTGATTTATATAGAGCCATCCGAGACACGCTACTTGTTGGATTGGCAGGGTTCTCCAAGCAGATACAGTGATCAGACTCATATTTCTCATGTTAACAATGTTATTGATATGATATATGCTTTTACTAATCTCTTTTTCTCCATCCATTGGAATATTCTATTTTCGCCCTCACATGATTGCAAAAGTGATCTATTCATTTCTCAGCAGTTTGCTACTTTGTTTCCTCTGTAGTGAGAAGGATTTTTTATTATATGCTTTAATTTGTGCTCCTCTCCTTTTTTTTGTAGGGACAACCTGTTTATGCATTTGGTGTGGGTCTTAGTACTTTTGACAAGGCCTCGGTAGCAAAACTGTCCTTGGAAAAAGAATTAAAGCTGTTGATTTAATTTGAAAGAATAGCAAGACATTCAATATCATATCTGAGTCAGTTTCATATATATCTTGATTTTGTTTGCAGTATGTCTGTCAACGAAGAAAACCTTTATTTTGACTAAGTTTACTATGTAATAAAGGATACACAACTTTGTCTCGATTTGTAGGATCAATATCAATATTACTCATTTTATGGATATGGCAGACTATTTTTCCATAGAAATAAGAGCTCTCTAAATTATCTCACCCAATTTTTCTTAGGTGAACTATTATGTGCAGTCACACATACAGATGAATGAATATCGAGATCGTGTTGTCCTGGTAAGTGCTTTCTTATGGGGGGTTTTCAACCGTGGTCATATGGTCCCTTCTTAATTATAATGCCATGGGGGTGGTTCTTCCCCCACCAGTTGAGTTTTTTTTATTGATGATTAATGGTACCAAATTAGGGAAAAGAGTTTAAATATATTTTGTGTTCTTTATAGCCAGCTGCATCAAAGAAGTTCGGGAGACAGATTAATACCTGCTTGAAGGTTATGGATATGACTGGCCTGAAGCTGTCTGCACTGAGCCAAATAAAGGTGAGCACAAAATCCTCTATTTGTTAAAGTTCTGTCGTGATCTGAATGATAATTTTTTTATCGCATTTCAGATTCTTTAAGGAATTAACTGGCTTAGTATAGTGGAAGTGGAAATTATTCAAAAAAATCTACCTGTGATGGGGTTTATTTCACTAAATTGAAACTGAATCATGAGATTGAGAAGCAATTATAGGTAGTTGCGACTTCGTATCCTGGTTGTCTAATAAATGTTCCACCATTAGGATGGTGAGTCTAGATCAGTTTGTTAAGGGTGTGAGCATCCCCAAATTCAAGTCCTTGCCTAGACCGTTTCCGTTCCTCTATCTTCTTAATATAAAGCCACCTCTACCATGCAATAGTATAATAAAAGGAGTCAAGTGCAATAGTATGTTTGTTTATATTACCTCTACCGTGATGTCAGCATGCCATTGATTATTATCCTTGTTCTATGCTCCTCAAAGCGAAGTGATTTATTATAATACTACTTGCAGCCTGATTGGTATTCACCTTCTTATTAGGCTCTGGAAGAGCGAGGTCGAGAGAAATATCTCTTTGTTGAGAGTGTTGATCTTTAATGATGGAGAAGTAGAACCAAATTAAGAGCAGGTCGTCCAAAATCTGCCTTCCTTGGGTTGGGGAGTACATTAGCTCTCCTTTAATCTTCTTCATGACTTTTTTAAAATTTAATGATGTGTTTAACTGGTTTTTTATCGGGTGTAGGCCTGATTATTACCTCTGTGGTTACAGGTAAGGAAAGATCTGGTTTACTGCTAGTGCATTTTGCTTAGGCACAAGACTGATGAAACATATTGTTGCATGTAGTATATTGAAAATCATCTGTAGCTTTTAGATTTTCTTGCTGGTTGGTAAGGCTTCTGGGTCCACGTTCTAGCACTTCATTTTGTTCGGATATCTTCTTTTTAATTTTTGCTTTTCCCGTCCACGTCCCCGCCCGACACAGCCTTGCACACGGCGGGGCCCCCTCATCTCTGGCGGCGCTTGTCTCCTCCATGTATCCGTCCGTCAGCCCTCAACTCGTAGAGTCGTAAAGTATCCGATACTTTTGAGGCATGCATACTCGCACCTAATTTTTTAGAAATGTTTCGGTTTTCCTCTAATTTGAATATGAACTGAACATAGCATTTATTTTACAACTGCCTTACGGTTTGCCTTTTTATTTATAGATTATATTATAATAATAATAATATTGCTCTGTTTCTTCTAATGCCCAATTCTTTGTAGAATCTAATTACTTTGATATCCGGCATCCTGAAGATAGGGAGCTGCTTGTTGATCCTAAGTTGATGTTCGTTGGGAACAAACTAGGAAGGTCCACGAGGGGAAGTAACGATACTTTTGAGGCATTCATACTCGCACCTAATTTTTCACATGTATGTGGCTACTTTATTGGACTGAATTTCAAGTATCTGCATTAGTTGTTGTTTTAGTTTATGTTCATTTGTCTTTTAGTATGTTTAAGTCATATTCAGTAGTCATGTATTCCTTGTATCTCTGAATAGGTATCGTGATCAAATTGTAACGATAGGTTCTTAACCGTGGAAAAACTCCTGAAGAAAAAGAAACACTTGAAGCATGTTTCAATCGAGAAGTAAATATAATGTGTAAAGTGAAACATGAGAATCTTGTCAAGGTACTTTCTGGTCTGAATGACATGTTTGTGTGGCTACATAGATTGTCATTTTTTTGGGACTCTCTCACAAATGTTTATGCGCTCATGCAGTTCAGTGGAGCTGGGAAGGGACCATTGATGGTGATTGTTATTGAGCTACTACCGGGAATGTCACTGAAAACTTATCTGAACAGCATTTGACCTAGCCAACTAGATACACACATCACACACTACAATTAACTGTGCAATGGACGGTTTACATGCCAATGGCATAATATATAAAAACTTGAAACCTGGTAAGGATGCTCTTCTGGCATTGTACACTATGAACCTGTGATCCTTTAACACGGATAAGTTTCTTTTATGTTGGCAAAACAGAGGTTACATTGCATAGCATGCTGATATTTTGTTCCCATTTTCTTCAGTATTATTGAATCCTTTTGATAGTTGGATTTGTTCCCAGTTTCAAATGCGTATTGACAGTTGAGTGGTGGAGATGGACCTGAGTGCAAGGCACAACTTAAGCTAAGAACTGGACAAGCAAAATAGACTCCACGAGTCGGCACATGCACACTCATGAAACTAGAAGTACGCTGTGGCAAGGGACGACGAAATCTGATAGCTAGAGGGTACATGGTGGCTGACATCTTTTTAATCTTTCAACAAACTGCAGATTAATTTTGTCAAAAAGAAATTTAGAGGTTAGAATATATATTTTTTGGAATTGTAAATAGTAGGGATGCAATATAATCTGTTGTGTGATCCGCGTGTTTTTAGTATAAAAGTTTTGTTGTCCGTAGCAACGCACGGGCACACTACCTAGTTAGAATAGAAAATAGAAAGGAGAAAAAAGGTCAATTGATTTGGAGATTTCCTCAAAGCCAATTTCTTACCTGCCAGAAACTTACTACTTGTTTTCCCTTTTCCCTTTCCTAATATAATTAGAGTATGTTGCAATAATAATTTTCATCATGATATAAAAGGATCGAGGTATCCTTTATAAATTTGGCTTTCCCTGCATGCGCGCCGACCTTGTCAGTTCGTTGCCTCATGCAGCATGTCATGCGTTCTACAAATACAGCTAGGCTCGCTGGGCGCCGCGCTGGCATCCAGAGCACGGGGCTGCCAAATCTAATCCCAAAAGAAAACATTCTTGAAAAAATGAACTGCGCAACTTATCCGGACCAAACGCTTCACACAAACAACAACAATATGGGGAAATATCCGTTATTGTTGTTTCAAAGATGAAACTCTTCCCATCCAGATTTAGACAACTCAACTCTTGTTGGACATTGAAAACTTGAGTAAAGTTGAAGCACCGCATGCTTAGTTATGATGATAAGGTCGTCATTTGTTTGCGAACTGGACTTGCATATTCTGCATCTGGAGTTGCACCGTAAGCCAAACATGTTTCGCAGATCCATGGTGGAAGGCCAGATCCACGATGAAGCTGCTCTATGGTGAAGCTTGTGCTCGAGATCCATGTTTTCAAAACTGGAGCTCTCTCAAACATACCCTTAGCTCCGTCTCTAGAAGATTCACCTTCTCCCTGCTTGGAACAAGCTCCTCCCTCGCAGTGGCGGAGCTCGAAGAGAATTCAAGGAGGGGCCAATAGTATTCAAGTTATCTCTAGTGTGTAAATCTTTATTACTTTCTAAGGATTAAACATAGACATACAATTACTAGGGGGCACATGCCCCCACTTCGGCCTCCACGTAGCTTTGCTACTTCTCCCTCGCCGGCTGCTTTCCTCCACCGTGGCCAACTGATTCTCCGTGAAAGCAACCATGCCTTGTGAGGAAGATAGCTGCACATTCAAATCACTCAACTCTCCCTCTAAATGGGCAGCGTCTTCGTTCTTCACCTCTCTTCTTTTTAGGTGATAGGTGTGCATAAGCTCCTAATAGTCCTAAAGCTCCCATGAAAATGAAAGTAGGCGCAATGAAGAAAAGGAAGTTGTGCAAAAACGGGTTCTCCTTTCTTGTCGCGAACCTTTGGTTAAATCATTTTCACTACCAATTTCACTTCAAACCGACGGTAAAAGTGCTCTTGGCGAAAATCCTTTCTATAGTAATGTCTCACAAACACCGCCATGGAAAAATAGGGGTTATTGATGTTTCAAGCTATCACCATCCTAATTCAGACAACTCAAAAGGTGGCTGCTTTATAACTCTTGTTGGCTTTCGAAAACTTAGGTAAAGTTGAAGCACCGTCGTCACTTGTTTGCCGAATGGACATAAACATAAACAATCCACTTGTAAGGCGCTGCGATCAAATTTAGAAAGGCGTGGTACGAAGACTGGAGAACGCTGTGTCATGTGCAACAGAATAGGAGAGGATGGCGGCCATCTTTTTTTTTCAAATGCAAGCATGTCAAGGAGCTGTGGAGGTGTGCGTGCCTGGAGAATTGGCGAAAGAAATGCAGTTACGGAAGGAGAACAGAAGAGGCTGCCGAACTCCATAGCTAGAAGCAAACTCTGGAGGTCACAACTTTAAATAGGACCAGGCAGCAAGGCGGGAGATCTCGGAGCAGGGCGACAAAATGACTACGACCTCCACCGGGGCGCCTGAAAATCAATGCTGATGGTGCCTTCAGGGAAGCTGATAAGAATGGAGGATGGGAATATATCATCAGGGACGATGGAAGCCGAGTGATCCAATCAGGTTCAGGAATATGCTTGTAACCCTCTGCATATGGAGCTCCTTGCTTGTGTAGAAGGAGCGAAAGCAGCAGCGGTTTGGGCATCAGAGACATTGTGCTCGAATCTGATGCAGTCCAAGTGGTGGAAGGTCTCCTCGTCAATCCTTGGTGGTGCAGTACATGAGTTGAAGGAATTACTAGCTGAAAACTTCATTTTACCTCAGATTAAGTATGTTCCACGTGAATGTAATCGGATAGCGCATGAGTTAGCTTCGATCGGAAGTTTGGGTAATGAGGGGATGCCCTCTATGATGGCCGGAATGCCAGAATGTATCATAAATTTGGTGTCCAGCGATTTAGCTGGCTTGGTCGATTAATGGAATTATGCATTCCTCTAAAAAAAAGAACAGTTTTGTACCTAAATGGGAAAGGATACACATGGCCGCTGGCTAGATCTAATGCACCGCAGGTTATTGGCATATAAAATCTGAAAACTATATATCTACATTTGGAAATAGAAACAACTTTGAAGCATTCTGTGAAAATAACATGACAGAAGTATTTTCAGAAGCAAGTACTTGCTCATCTTGGCTATTTTCGCCAAGAGCTGAAAGAAGTGGTCGTAAAATTCTCAATCATACACAACATACTGAGGATAGGTGGTAACCGGGTTGTATGGTTGATCTTTGACTGGTAGGTAAATACTGAGAGTGGTAAAAACAAGTGAAGGAGAGGCAATGCATGGACAAAGAAGCGTCTTGGGCAGCGGTGGGCCGGCCGATGGAGCGGCGGCGGCAGTCGATGGAGAGTGTCGGCTGCGAGCCGGACGAGTAGAATGACACGTTCATGGTACTTGGGTTATCGGGCCCAATCGAGACGGTTCGATCGAGTTAGCTGGAGCTCGGTGGGCCGGGAGTTGTCAGGCTGTAAAGTTGTAGTGGCACCTGGAGTGGGGCTCAAGCAGGTCCAACCCATAAAGCAGGAGGTGGGCTCTTGTTGGTCCTAAAGGTCCATTAATTTCTCCCCGCAGATTTGGGCTCTGTCACGATAGCCGGTTAGCCACATCCTCCTATTTCCCAATCCCAACCAAAATAAAGTTACTTCCCCTAAAAAAAAGACCAAAAAAAAGTTACTACTACTGTGGCTATTATCTCTCTCTCTCTCAATCAAGCAAAAGAAAAGAAAGAAAATGGAAGGCAACGAAGACAATAGAGGGAGAAGAACGTACTGTCGTCCCCTCGATTTGGAACAGAAATATTTCGCTGTGGGGATCATCACATCCTACTCTTTCCACAACCATGAGAGATCGTATTATTCCATCCGCTTTTACCCTCAAAACCAAACAGACAGTTGCATTATAGCCACAGAACCCAGTGAAATAATTTACACAAATATAAAGACATGTCCAATTCCACCCCAAATCCTGGGAGCTTATATGCCTTCTTTGTAACCATCTCGATATTATATTTATTATGATTGGTCTACAGCAACAAAATGTCGTCGTGAAATGGAATTGCGGCAGGCCAGCAGCACTACATTTTCAGGTTCCTTGAAAAAAAAAACAAAGTGAGATCCCACTCGTCCAGTGCCACTCCAAACTAAACGCTACATACGCATTTCAGATTAAATATAAAATACATCAGTAGCGATCAAGCAGGCATCCCTACGTGGCTTGATAGGTTGACCGGGATAACTATATACTTCCGATCAATTGTACAACAAACTAAACAGTAATATTATTAATATCTAAACAAATTCCTAGTAGTAGCTCTAAACAAGTTTCTAGCGATAGTACTTCAATTGTACAGTAAACTTGGTCATAATCCGTATTCTTAGACTTTTGATGAGTAGTAGCTCTAAACCAGAATCCTTCGTAGCCTCATAAAACATTGGACGCCGACCATGATCAAGATTTGATCACAAGTGGCACTACAGTAGCCAAACAGAGGAATATCAAATTCTCAGCTAAGGGTTGCGGATTGTGCCATTGGGATGCGATGTAAAGCCATCGTGCAGAACTTCCAACTCGTCAGCTTCCAACAAGAAGCCATTCTCAAAGAACGCAGAGTGGAGGGCTTGAACACACTGCTTTGCCTCACTGTCATGGACCACCAAGGAAATGTTCACCTGTGTAAGGATGGTGTAACCGATATCAGATTAGTCTTGGAGCAAGTATGGTGCCCCCGTGTCCCTATCAAACATGACAAAAAAGGAGTACCTTGGACGCCCCTTGCGATATCATCTGGACATTGACACCATTTCTTCGTAGAACATTGAAAGCCTGCCATGCAGCAGCGGATATCAATTGCAAACATAGTATTGCATGATCATTTCTAGCACACCAGTTACTCTAGTATGTTTCTGTCCACACTTCCTCAAATTGTAAGTTCATAGCTCAACTTTGAAGATTGCGATTGAAGCAATCTAGAGTGTTAACAATCATGAAGCTTAGGTGAAATGCACTTGCCTTTTCAAGAATCAAAGACGACCTCTGCACATTTCCAATTAAAGATATTATTGACCTATTCTGCAGTAAATGAACAACTGCTATCTTCTCAAGATCTTCAATGACATCATCAAGTTCCTAGTATATAGAAAGGTCAAAATTAGATTTGCCAAGATGCATCATCATCATCTGCTATAATGAACCAACTCTGGCCTCAGCCAATTGTCATTTAAAAAATAAAAATAAAAATCCATGTTACAAAGGACTTTAATTCTTACAAAAAACTACCAACATGTCTCTTATTGAGTAGAAAGGCAAATATGCAGCATTCACACGTGTTGATTCATTCCAGATCCTGATTATCTTTTGTGTTGTGTGCATTGGTGTATTGCTTCTAAGGTTGTAAATGAGGTCAACGGAAGGATGAGACATGGTAAAAAAAAAGTGTTGGGAAGGCACCGAGCAGAGAGGAATCGAGAAATGCGCAGAATGATATATAATGTCTTTTTCTTTAATATAGTGACAAATATTTCTTTATATAGAGATCCTAATAAAATGAATCTAGCCTGTAAGAATATGGATTATGACCCAGCCAAATAGCAGTCTAATACCAAAGCTAACCAAAGTCCTGTTAGTCGAGGTCGTTTGGTTATCTAAAGAGTGATCCTGTAATCAAATGTGTGTGTGTGTAAAGTTTCTTAAACAAGCTCTTCTTTAGTATAATGATACACAGCTCTCCTGTATGTTCAAGAAAAAAACCCTATACCTACGAGGCACCAGCACCAATGGCGGGATGGGAATCCTAGGGAGACATTATAGGTCCAACCCCACATAACATCAGGTGAGAAAATAATACAGTTAGTTTATTTTTTCCAAAAAAAAAAGACAAGGAAAACTTGAAGCAAAGTGTTATCTTTATATAGTTTACGCGGATTAAGACAAAAACAAATCTTGAGGAAATATAGAGTCATTGCCAAGAAAAAGAAATTAACAGTGAATAAATTGAGGCCCAAACATTTTTGTGCTGAACCAATTCACAACTCCATAGTTTCGATGGATCCAGTGTCAAAGATATGCTGACTTCACTGGTAGCCACACAATCAACAGAGATGCCCAAGTCTTCAAATATCGAAAAAACCTGAAAATTGATAAAGTTACAACCAAAGATTGAAATGAATAGTAAACTCAAGGAAAGTAGCCTCTGAATAGTTGTACCTTAGCTAGAAAACCCGTACTGGCCAAGCATGCGTGTGCTCACTATATCAAGCATTGTAATATTTGATTTCAAAACAATGCTAGTCAAAACAGTCTAGAATAAAACGTGTCAATATTTGGATTAGAGAGCAAGAACAAGTTGACAAAGTCTAAGATTAGAGTTTAGCCAAGTAACAAACCTTACTCATATCTCTTTCTTTAGTGATAAGAGTACCAGGGGCTCGACGGTTATAAGAGTTCTTAACCCTAACAGGTACATCACCTTCTCTAGCTGGTCGCATTGATTGTGGATGCAAAACCTAAAAGTAATAATTGATGGAAACCAATCAATAAATAAATATCATATAAAACCATTGGCTCAGTAAAATGCTAAGCTAAAAAACAAGGCCACAATGTATAGCCGAGATCCATCGAAGTATTTCGTTTGTCAATGTTTTCCTTAATGGATAACAACACATACCTGCGCTCCAAAATAGGCAAGTTCGGCTGCCTCATCAAATGTCAAGTATGGCACAGGTTTTGCCTTAGGATGGATATTTGGGTCACATGTTAAAACACCATCAACATCTTTCCAAACCTACTAGAAACAAGATCAATGTTATAAGTCAACTACACAGGAACAAAAATAAATTAGCAACGATGCACTCTCTCTGTTGTGCGAAAGGGCCTGTAGCCTAGAGCTTGCAAGTGCTTGTGGGAGCGAATTTAGGCTGGTTAAAAAAATCCCCTTGCCGGCAAAGTCGGAGTTTGGGGGTTTTCTCGGCTTGCATGGTTGAGGTCTTCTACCTTAATAGCTAAACTCTGGGGGCATACCCCTGGCGTGCCAAGTTTTACTCTCTCTGTTGTTTTTATAAATTAAGTTTTAGAGGGCAAAATTCTGTTCTTTTCACATTAGGGTTCTCGCCTACCATATTCTCCTAAAATGTTCTTCTATGAACAACGTTTTACATTTACCAGGTCAAACATAAACATAGCTTTCATCCTAAACTTTTCAAATAATCATTTAATGAGTACAAATCCATGTATCAGAGATGAGGCTACGAGGAAAAGTTGAGATGAAAAGAAGTTCATGAGGTTATCCAACAACAACAACAACAACAACAAAGCCTTTTAAGTCCCAAACAAGTTGGGGTAGGCTAGAGTTGAAACCCAGCAGAAGCAATCCCACGTGAATAGTTGTTTTACAAGCACTCCTCTCTAAGGCTAAGTCTTTGGGTATATTCCATCCTTTCAAGTTCATGAGGTTATCCAAATAATTAAAATTTTGTCCTAAATTAAAGACTTCATTTTAATGCTTAGATGCTCAGATCCACTTTAACAAAAAAAAAAACACAAAAGGAAAGCCTTAGTTACAGTATCTCATGTTAAAAATGGTAAGAAGCTATCAAGCCTTATGCACTCGCAGTCAACATTAGGCCTATGGAAAGTAACTCTGCACTAACCAATGAATTAAACTGGTCACCTATTGTGGCTTGAACCAAACAGTAATTGGTCCAAGGAGGAAGACAGCCTAGGGAAAACAAATTACAAACCTGGATTTCTCTTAATCCCAAGGCTTTGCCAATGGTTGTAGCTGTCAAGTCGCTACCACCCCTGCCCAAGGTGGTTATTGCACCAGATCTCCATCCCTGCAATTTTAAGTGCATGAAGTGTGAACATTACAAGAACAAACTCTTTCAAAGGGAAAAAAGAACATATGGGCAAATGGAGCATTGATACCCAAGAAATGAAACGTGAAATATAGAACCTTTCCAAGAAAGCCTGTGACTATAGGAATAGCAGGATCCTTAATCCAGTCCCCATGTAGCCTCTTTGCAACAGCAGGATAAGTTGCTTCCAGAATATCCGCATTTGTGAAATCATCAGTAGTTATAAAGCCAAGATCAAATGCATCATACTGCAATGAAGCAAGAATCAGAAACTTTGACTAGATATCTACTTGGTTGATGCTTTACATGAAGAATTCCTGTACATAGACAAAAATCTACTAGAAAAAAATAGGATCACAAAACACTTATTAGCAGTATATGTATAAGAATACAAGAAATATACTGACTTGCCAAGAATTTGGAACTACAGTTTGTACTACATGCAATGCATTAATGAATTTCCTACTAGACTGCATGGCATTAAGATAAGTAACATGGACATATTTGAAACACGAGAAAGACCATCCAAAATGCAATCAATTCAAGAATGTACCTGCCGAGCTTTTACCCCGATTTTGTTTAAAAGTGCAGCAAATATTCTTGTAGACATGCATTCACCAAATGAAACTAGATAATCTCGTGTCCTAAGAGTCAGCTCTTTCATCATAGCAATTCCCTTAAGAAGTTGTTCAAGTTCATCCAACAAACCTACAAGATTTCAAATTGGAAGTGGTATCATTTATTCAGAATCAAGAAATATTGACAGCACCACAAGACAAAGGCTGGATAGTGCAATATTCATGTAGCAGATTATAAAAGTTCAGTTCTGACTTCTGAGAAAGCATGAGTTATCTAAACAGAAAGCTTAAAACATACGCATAAGCTTGAAAACTCAATTGTCAGTTCATCTACGTGAAGTGGATCAATATTCGCTTTAATACAGCGAATCGAAGGTTACATCATTTGAAGTGGATCAATATAGCAATTAAGCCATATATGATGCACCAATCTCCACCTCCATACCCTATATGGAGACATTTCCTGAGAGAAATTTGATGTGGGTGAACATGACCACACCACACTACAAGTTAATTTAGCATGTTTTGTAACCCTGAAGACTTGAAACACAAAGAGTCAAAGAAGACTAGGAGAAGCATTTGGTAAAATGGGCAACATCTTACCATAAACAATTGACCTATCTAGCTCAAGCTGATCAAGCGTCCTAGACAAGGCAAAACGGTAGAAAGAAATCAGGCAAAAGCATTCCCAACCAATCCACTCGATGTAAGTAAAGCACTGCAATTCACACAGAACCATACCCAAGATGCAATTCCTTTACAAAGGAGAGCTCGTCAAGCTCCGAGACGTTGGTCGCGCCGCAGCGCACTGCTTTTTCCCCTGCCTGCAACCAAAATTTGAAAACCACTTTTTCAATCCTAAATCCTAATGGTGTATGATTCCTCATAACACTAAAACACCTCGCATACCGAGGGTAATGAAGCTAGGCACTAGTGGTGCAGTAGAATACCATAAGCAGTTTGTTGGTGGTCTTCCCCATCGCCGAGAGCACGACGACCGGGCGCTCCTCGGGGAAGCTGAGGATGAGGTCTGCCACCTCCCGCATCCGCTCGGCCGAGGCCACCGACGACCCGCCGAACTTCATCACGACGGTGAGCTCCGGCGCCGCGCCCCCGTCGCCGCTTCTCTCCTGCGCAGCCTCCACCACCGAGGCATCCTTCTTCTCGACAATGGCGGCGCCGACGGCTCGCTGGCACCGGACCGCCGCCTTCCTCAGGCACGGCGCGGCCGGGACCGCAACAGGCGCCAAGACCCCGCGCCGTCTCGCGGCGGTGGGACCCTCAAGTGCAAGTCCCAGCCGCGCGGTGGTACGGAGAGCCGGCGCCGCCATGCTGGTGCCGCGAGGGTGGGAGGCGTGGGAGGAGGAGGAGGTGGAGGCGCCGACCGGGGGGCGGGGCGAGAAGAACGGACGGCGGAGAGTAGTGCGAAGTGGTTCCTTCGGACGGGCCAGATCAATTCATCAATATATGTCCATGTTTGGACCAGACGATTGACATTTCTATGGAACGAGATGCTGTAGAATCGTTTGGTATGATGAAGGTACGCCCATTCCTCCACAAAAAGTCAGGAATGAAAAGACAATCTAAGCTGAAGTTTTGGCTGCGCGCGCACGCGCGTCTCTCTCTCTCTATATATATATATATATATATATATATATATATATATATATATATATATATATATATATATATATACACGCGCGGAGCACGGCGAGGCAAGCGCCCACGCTCTTGCATGCAAACAACCAGCCAGCCGTTTGCTCCTGCATGTAGGGAATCTTTTGTTGATTCCAAACGAAAAAATATGATATCTTTTAAACCATATATTCGATTTTAGTTTTGTTTGAAGTAGGTTGTTGAAAAAAATATGATTAACAAAATGAGATCTATGAAGACTATATTTGATAAAGTTTTTTTTTCAAATACGTAATTGCAATATGGTGTACTATGAGTTGCAAGCACTTCTACAACACAATTGCAACTTGGCTGTAGCGTATTTAGCACTGGTTGCAACTCGTTACTACACAATTACTACTGGTTGCAACAAAGTTACTACCCGATTGCAAACCAATTACTACTGATTGCAACTAATTACTACTCAATTGCAGCACAGTTGCTACTCAAATATGATTGCAACTCAGAATTGCAACTTGACGTGATTATAGTGACCAGATGCATATAATACACAGTGTTATAACTAGTTGCAACTAGGTGGTAGACAGAGTTGCAATCGGTAGTACATTGACATGCAACTCGCTTAAAGGATAAAAAATATATCCATATTGGATCTAGTTTTGCTCAAAATATTTTTTTGAGTCGGATGCAACAAACGGTTTGTCAATCGGGGTTATGGTTTAGGGGAAAATTTATTTCAAAGATTCAAACCAACAAAAAAATCCATACATGCATGCATGTATTCGCTGGTTTCTCTAAGTTGCGCCCGCCGGCCTGGGTGCATTCTATATACAGGATGCACCTAGGTGTATTATAGCAAAAATAAAGGAAAGCAAGATGACGTGGCATCTGGCACATAGGAGTCACTCCTATGTGCCAGATGCCACGTCATCTTGCTTTCCTTTATTTTTCTAATACTTTGTTTTACACTCACATTTTTTTCATTTACTCTATCTTCATCGATTTCTCTGTTTTTGATCCTCTGTTCTTCATAGATCCTATTTTGTAAACCTTTCATCAAGAAAAAAAGGACGTTCATGTCAATGCATGCAACTTTCTTGAACGAAACCTAGACTTATTAACAAAAGAGGGCAACTGCAGTCAAAGGGGGAAACTCGTTTTCAGGCAATATAACCACTTCCGCTAACTACTGTAGTTTTTTTTTTGCGACGCTAACTACTGAAGTTATGCTCGGTTGTTGAATACTAATGACAAGCTTTAGTTTAGTGTTGAGACTAATCATAGCATGAGTGTGATGTTGTGCAACATGTCTCTTAGTTTGTGATGGGTCTAGGTGTTGAGCATTGAGACAGGCGATGACAATGGAGAAGGTCAAGCGAGTTTGTGCCGATGGACCAGGAGCGGTGAAGGACGGACAGGAGGCTTGGACCAAGAGATCGAGGTGCTAGTGGATCATGGACCGCTAACACTTGGCAACATCGACGAGCAAGTGTACATGAGAAGATGGCCAAGACTGTGTTGACCAAGTCAAGCGAGGGGCGCGAGGACTTAGTGATTAGATGGCCAAGGACGGACGGTGACACACGTCAAGATTGTGGAGGAGGCATAGCGGATATGCTTCTCTAGTTGGGTTTAGCGGTCTGGGCCTTAAAACCACTCGTGGATGGTTTTGCCAGGTTTGGGCTTAGAAAACCCGGAATGGAGTTTGGTGCGGCACGTTGCGTCATCGAGAAGGTTGTGTCGAGGCGAAGCATTCTCGTGAAGGACTCATGGGTGTTGGATGCACGGTCTCAACTTGGACCATTATGCTCTTGGGGTTAAGTGGTTCAAGGAAATATCTAAGAACGGGCTTAGAATGTGTAATATGGCTCTATAAAAAAGAGGGGAGGTTGCCCAAGCCAGCTATCTCTTCTAGTGTTTAGTTTCCCTGTCTTCAGGTTGTTTCTCTCAGTTATAGCCAGAGCTAGTTGTAGGATCTACTGGAAGATAAAGAAGGCCTAGAGGGGGTGAATAGGCCTATAAAAATTCAACTCGAAACTCTGTTAGAACAGAGGGCGGCACTGTCGGCCTTACAGGACGGCACTGCCGCTCTATGAAAAATAATCTAACACAGTTAAGATTTAACAGAGAAGAACCTGACCCCACTAGCTGCTTAATCCTGTAATATAAAGTCAAGATCTAGTTCGAAGACTGGATACCACAGAAACTTTACACAAAAGTGAATCGAGCAACTAAACCCTAACAACAGCTAGCAATAATGTAAACAACAAGTATAGTGAAGAAGAAGCACGCAAGACACACGATTTATCCCGTGGTTCAGCTCACCACTAAGGTTTGCCTAAGTCCACGTTGTTGAGGAAGCCACAAAAGGCTTTAGCTTGCCACAAAGGCTTGCTTTACCCTCGTTCTCAAATCAAGAGAGTGAACTCTTAAAGTGAGGGGTGATTTCTTAGCTTTCGAATGAGGTTACAAACCTCCCAAGGCTGCCACACGACTTGGCAAGCACAAGGGCGACGCCTAGCCGGTTAGGAGCAAGCTCCAAGAGTAACAAACCCTAGAATCACCGGCCAAACGTGAACCAAATGCTCTTAGACTTTGGGAATCAGTGGATCTCCTCTCCAATCGAGTTTTGCTGCCTTTTCTCTCAAGTTTTGATGGTTGGAATCAAGGATTAGCTTGAGGGATCGAGGAGCAACAATGGAGGAGAGGGGTGAGCTTTGGTCCTGTCTGTTTTTCAAGCAGAGTGACTTAGTGGAGAAGATGATCGTTGTGGGCCGGGCCTGAAGGGTATAAATACCCCCCGAGCCCAATGGTCAGTTAAGGGCGGCACTGCCGCTCTTAACAGGGCGGCACTACCGCCCTAGCCAAAACAGGAAATATGATATGAAATTTAGCTGGCTATTTTGACTAGGTGGGATGATGTAAATATGTGAATTTGAGCATCTGATTCAATAGTTGACCAACTGTCCTAAAGTCTCTCTTGATAGTACGACTTTTTCTAAACTCAAATTCAAAACATAAAAGAATTTAAACCTCCTTTGAGCTCGGTCTGGCCACCTTTTGTAATTAGGATACCTACAACCTGTATATCATCCTCATTCTTTGATTCCCTGCTTGTCATCTCGATAAATCTCATTAGTCCTCTAATTTGGTGGTCATCAATGCCAAAACCCACAATAGGGCTTGATTGCACTTACAATCTCCCCCTTTTTAGTAATTGATGACAACCCAATTAGAGCTTACAAATGATATGAAATCTAAACTGAGATTTTTTGAATCATGGGTGTAGGAGCCTCCCCCTAAATATGTGAATGGAGATTTGAATTCTCAATCTGGTATAAGAGGCCATGATTCACATTTTAGGTGTGATGGGGAACCTCCCCCTACATCCATGCCTGCTGTGGAGTGCTGAGCAAAGTGTCATAGGAATAAACGTGATGCATATGACAGGTTATATCAGTTCAGGCACCTAAGATTCTGGCTGATACAGCACAGGGCGGCACTGCCGGCCCCAGAGGGCGGCACTGCCGTCCTGACCATACTAGTCAGATAGCAATCAGATTCCTACAGAAGATCATATGTATATAAAACAATCTAAACTCAGAATATGACAAGCTAAAACAATAACCGTGAAAACATGTCCATATCCGAAGCAAATTAAGTCACAAAGTAGCATAATATCATAAAATAGAGTTTTGAGCGACTCTCAAACTCACAACCTAACTACTCTCAACGGATCTGAACATCAAACGCAGCAGCGAAGAACACATGGCGTCAAAAAATTGTTGACCCCTCTAATTTTCTCCCCCTTTGGCATCAAATACCAAAAAGAGAAGAAAAAGAAGAGAAATCACTCATCACTGTCAGAGTCGACGCGGGCACGTCCGGCAACATGGGTGTGCGAAGTGAAGCATGCTGAACGTCGCGGTGGTGCAGCCCCAGCTGAAGTAGAAGGCCCTGCTTGATCCATCGAAGGACACGGTCTCCTGGAGTATGTGCGAAGCAAAGCTGCCTGTACCTGTGGATCAGCCTCTGTAGGGTGAATCTCTACACCAAGGTCCTGCTGCAATAGAGGCTCCTCAAAATGTTGCCTCTGTGGGTATCCATAGTACTGACTGAATGGCTCATATGAGTGCTCATGCTGCTGATCATCTTGTTGCTCATCATGGTGCTCATGTGACTGATCCTGCTCCTCATCAGAAGAAGAAAGGCGAGGCAAGTCAGGAAACCGAGGTGGCGACTGCACTGGTGGAAGTGGTGGTAGCCCTACCATCTCCCTAGCATGCCTCACAGCTTCCCTGTTCTCCATTCTATCCTCATAAACAGTCTAAGAAGTATATGCACAATGAGCAAAGATTGCCTTCATCCATGCACTCATCTTTCCCCACTTTGATTTCTTCTTTTGTTCCCTAGCCCTGGACGGCTCAGGAATATCTCTCTGTGTAGCTCTAGAAGGGTGAAGGCCTGCTGCCCCACTATCTCCAAGTCCTCTAGAACTAGTGTGCTGAGTAGCTGAACCAAGTCCCCCTAAGCCACCATGGGTCTTCTTGATCTTGTAAACAGTATGCTCACAATCCTTAGGGAACCACATACCAGTCACTCTCTCAATCATAAACATGAGGTAAGGAGCATAGGGCAAAGATCTCCTCCCATCATCCATGGCATAAGCTAGCTCAACCCAAATGAATCTTGGAAC